AAACCTCCAAAATTTGCAATTTATGAAATTTTTCCCTGTTATTTAGTTAATATAGTTAATATTAGTATACTTTTTCAACATTTCACGAGAAAAACCCCTTCAAAACACTGTTTTCTGAGGTTTGTCTCCTGGACAACTTGCTTATGGACAGGATGAACTTAACTCCATACTTCTCAAACCATTCATTATTACGTTATCGTGTTTATAATGAACACCACTTTTTAACGCTTAGTTAGTTATTCATTAACTATCGTGGCACGTGACCTGGAAAAGCTCATTTTTGAAGTCAGAGTGCAAAGTCCTTTAACGTGATACCAAAACTGTTCCACAGAGTTGTTTTGCAAAAAAAACAAAATTTTTAGCTATAAGACCACCTTAAAGGCATGGGTTTTTTTTCTTTTGAACATGATATCTGGTACGACAAAACAGTTTTTGACTCCTGCCGTTTTTTTCAGCTAGCTAGCTTCGTCGATCGAATCCACAAACAAGGTACATCTTCCCTCACTAGACCAATGCTAGCAGGCCGACGAACCTTTCCCGCCAAAAACCCACGTGATCAAAGCATGCGTCCAAAATGCGTGCGAAAAGAAAAACATGGATGCAGACAGGTGCAGGGATCGGTAGCTTCACAGACATCTTGGTCATCTTTCCCGAGCTTTCTACAAAAACTCTTCTTCCACCACTTTAAACTACGAAAAGAAATCTTGGAAAAAATCTCAGACGTCAGTCTATGGTTGGTTAATTTCTTCTTTTTTGTCCAGTCTTACTTTAAAGTGGATTTTTAAAGTGAAGAAGTCAATTTCTCTAGCCGTTCTACTTTGGGTCTTATGTCGACTTTCTCGTCTTTACAGTTTCCCTTGTCGCAAATTTTTATGTGAGTTCTGTGATCAGTTCTGACAGCAAGTGCCGATAAGGAAAAACATCGCCTCACTAGAAGCGCAATCAATAACTTAAAAGTGCTTTTTGATTTTTGTTATAATATTCCGTTTGAACTAATTTCAAATTTAGAAATTAAAACCATAAGCTACCAGGTAAAAGAATTTATTGATCAAATTTGAGGGATATAGTTTCACTGGAAAAGCCGTGATTTCAAAAGTTCTTCCTGATATTCTTCCATATTCATCTGTCCGTAAACTGAAGCTGCAGTCCACAGGAGAAGTACTTGTAAGGATCCTCGCCTCCCTGCAATGCTTTTTCCTTGAAACTGACTTGATTGATGAGATCGTCTATGAGGCATTCTTATCTTGTAATTCATAAAAATTTCAGAGCCTTGGTCTTCTTTAAATTATTGGACATCAAACTCCAGACCAATTTCTCATATTAAAATTTGTGTTCCATTTGCCTCCCCGCCCACCCCACTTTCAGACCTCGAGTTCAATTCCAGGCTTTTTCATCATTGATCTATCCTTATGACTTTCTAAAATTCGTTTTTTAAGACACAAATCTTGACGATTGATGACAAATTTGGTTATTAACATGAGAGAACATAAATACCTTTCATCTTTACTCATTTTCTTGAATGCCATATCAGCCCAGTGGAAAAACACTCCCATAGAACCAGACAAAAGGTCACCTTGCCCTCCACAACGTCTGTTGCTGCCTTCTGTAGTGCAATGGACCACTGCGCAGGAATAAAAATAAATTATTGCAATAATTTTATCAAAATAATCAAAGACCATTTCAGTGTTTTCCACCCCAGCTGTGAAAACATACAGTAATACAGCTGAAATGTGAGGTCAATGTTTGAAAAATTTGACTTAAATAAAATCTATGAATGGTGAAGTTAAGATTCCCGCCATAAGATTCCTCTGCTCAAATTTTAGTGATGTAACTAAATTGTGCTTGTATACTAGTAAAAAGTATACAAGCTTTGACAAGCAAATGTAGGAAAACTTCAGGTAAAAGTGACTACATGTACACGCTTTTGTTTATGAGTTTCAGAACCTCAGTAGAAACATGTTTTGCCTAAAATCTAAAGTTAAGAGATGAATAAGATGCAAAATTCAAATTTTGCAGAAATAGCTTGGACTGTAATAATATTATAGACATTCCTCATGCAAACACTGTTAAGCGTGCCATCTGATGCTGGCACCCATAGCAAATATGGCAAAGGAAAGCTTTAAGGGTCTATTGCAGAACTAAGACAGAAAGGGGCCAGTTCCAGGCCACTACTTTTAGAGCTGTCAACAATCCTTGTTATCTGTGTTTTCCCATTTCATAAGTAAATGGTTAATCATTTCTTACCATCTTTTCCATCAGCAAGAATGTCTTCTTGTCCTTTTCGACATATTGTGACTCCACCTAACTCTCTGCACAACTGTGTCACATGATCTGAAGTGTCTATGGAGGGGTCGGGTTCACGGCCAAACTAAGAGATTTCCAAGCAAATTGCAGTAAGCACAAGTAAGAAAAACAAATTTACCTACATAAGCAAGACACAAGCATTAAATTATAAAGATTATGATTGTTCTCAATATTAATTAGTACAAAATAATTCATCATTTTCCTAACTGATTACATGTACCATACATTTTGTTATGTTAATTGTGACAATTTATATTTAGTGTTTGCCACCACATTGTTTCTTATTGTTGTCACCTGTGAGCTTGACATTATCAATAATATTCCATTATCAAGCTGTATCTAAAGGGAAAAATGGATGCTGATCATACTAATCCTAGGAGATAACAATATTACTTGCCTAATGGTACTCAGTGGACTCAGAACTAAGTAATTATCTTGGTTTAAGCCTGGATGGGGCCCTTGCTTGTGCATTTGGGCAAGAGGTTTCACTATGACAGCACTTGGTATGGCCAGGAAATTCATATAAAATGGCATGGGTAAATTCTTTGGGCGGCATGATAAAAATGTGACAAAAATACCCATATCCACACCACGGAAAGTCATTGGAACATCTGAGGAGGGTGAGGGGGAGGGGAGGGGGGGNTGGCCTGGGTCTCAAAAGCCCCAATTTTTTAAGAATAATATGAAGCTACAGTGGGCAAATATTTTCCCAAGGCGTAGAGGTTCAAACCAAAAAAAACCCTTCCTCACAGTTAATTATCTTCTGGAACAACACAATGCAAGAGGTAACCTGTAAATGGACAGTAATTCTGATATACTGTAGGGGAGCAAAGGTTTCTCTAGCCATGCTAAATGCTAAATCATGCTAAATCTTGAGCTAAGTGCCAGTAATTAACACATGATAATACAGATTTATTTAATTGAATATATTTTTAAAACATGTTTTTTTTTTCTAGGTAAATGTATTAGATTTACCAGCACAATATATAGGTGTTCAATAAAAATGTTTTTATTACTTCTTTGAAGGTATTGAGTATATACCTGTATTACACAAACAAAGCTAGAAAATCAAATTCACCATTGTGCTGTACAGTCTTGTAAATTCCATAGCATTTGGTGTAAGAATTGCTTTGGTATAATTCTTGATTATGTCAGGGTATGATGTTATCATATACAGTCCATCCTAATGGAACAACAGAAGCACAGAGTTAAATTATTATTAACCATAATCCTAGCTAGATTAGCCAAGCAACTGTACATCAATAAAGTTATACTTTTGGACAAGATAAATGAATTTCTGTTACCTCAAGCTCACCTGATTTAATTTTTCTGAGGGCTTATTTTACTCTCTTGTCACAGTCAGTGTGCAAAGAAAACACAAATCGCAAAAATCAAGAAAGCTTACTCAACTGCATCTATGACAAGGAGTTTTCCCTGTTCCTTTGCAAGCTCAAGCACTCCCTGTGGGTTAATAACACAACAGTAACATTACAAGAAGTTTCAAGATTTCTGTGCTATCGAGACAATTCTAATAACCTACAGCAAAATCCCTTTCTTGATACCAGTAAATGAATTTAAAATCTTGAAACAGATGAGATAAGTGACATTATAGATTTACCTTGACATTTTCAATGATTGTTGGGTTTCGTCCCATTCCTGGACCAACAACAAGGCAGTGAAGTCTTGAAAGCCAATCTTTCACCTCCTTCACTGCCGTTTTTCTATCTCTGAAAATGACCCGTTCAGGACAAATGAAGTCATAAAATCAATTACATGCACTAATATTTTACCAAAGGGCTACAATTTTTTTAAAGCCATTTTTTTTTTGCAAGGCAAATTTGTACTCAGAGAAAACTGGGCTTTCTCTGGGAAGAAAATTTGGCCTCAATCAACATTGCTATGAGTCATGGCTGGGAAAGAAAGGTTTCATTGACAGTTCAAGTTGTGGTCCAACCATAGTGATCACACATTCAAGCAACGATGATACTTAACAGTATGACATGACCTCTATTTTTGCAACTGACAAATGAGCCCAGCGATGGGTTGATAAATTAAAGTGGGCTGAATATAAATCCTTGATCACATAGGTCATACTGGGATATGAAAACTGAGATGTGTTAGGGAAAGTTATTTAACAATAATTATTTATAGTCATGAATTTGGTCTGCTAATATATTAATGACCATGCAGACATGACCATCAGTTTAAACCATCACATTAAACCATCAGATTGTATCATTATTTTCAGTTGGTAAAAACAAAACAATCATCCTTCTCATATCTTCATTTCTCAATTGTTACAAAGGATTAGAGAAACATTTTGTATGCTACATCTCAATGTACTTACAAAAGTGGATGTACAATAAGTTCAGGGCTGTATGACTTTATCACCAAAGCTGCATCACTTGTGCAAAACACGTGAGACAAATCTGCACCCTGCAAACAAACCAGGTAAAGTACTGTGATTTTCAAGACAACACATCTTAAGACTCTGATCAAAGTTGAAAATGCTTGCTGGGATGTAATCTCCTTCACAGCTGTTATATAGGTCACTGTGCAACACTTGTCCCCTAGGCTTGATCACCAGCAGCTGGGACGCAGACCAGACACGAGAGAGCGGTGGAAATCGAGCCTATTTGTCCCCAGTAACAACTTCTTAACCCTGATACAAACTCTTGATCCTCATGGAACATATTTATTGTTTTCTGGGACTGCATGACAGACAATTACAATTCACAACCCTTTTCAAAACTACATGAAAGAAGTGATAACCTTTGGGCAAACCAAAGTGTCTTTGAGAGCCTGTAGGACCTATTCACCATGCACATCATTTCCATTCATGAATAACAAGCCTGGTCAATTGACCTTTTCACGGTTTCTGACCATGACGTCATCTTGATTGGGGGCAAACACAGCAAAATTTACAGTTTAAATGTATGGGAAAAGTTAAAACTTCGATGTCCAGTAGTCTGAGAGTGGTTGACATTCTGAAGATTTCATGACTTACAGGGAAAAGATACATGTACCCAGCAAAAGTGTTTTTGATCACATTTTAAGAACATAGATTTGCTGTGAGATGAGGAATTACTCTTTAGATTTTTCATACAAATGTCTCTAATTTTTCCTGTGAATTGTGGTCCGGTTCTAAAGACAAATGTATCAAAAAAGGAAAACCTTAATATTTTTGTGACTTTTCTAGCCAGGCTATTTCCCTCAAATTTGATCAGAACATTCTTTTACCTGGTATCGTTAGGTTTTAATTTATAAGTATTTCAGAAGTTGAAATGTCTGTGAGTTGTTAGACATTAAATTATTGACTTTTCTCATACATTCACTGTAATTTTTTCTGTATTTGCCTGTCAGAAACCGTGAAAAGGTCTATATAGGATATCCAGCCATCTTGACAAAACAATGCAAGCGTGGTCAATATTCCACTTATTTCATCAAATAAAAGATGAGTATTTCAAATTAATTAGATAAAATAAATCAGACTTACTGCTTTCAATGCTGATATTGCCGCAAAATATGGAGCACCTGTATACCTGTCAAAGGATTAGAGGAAGAAGGGATGTCTTTGAGGTTAAACTTGTCAGCTTTTATAACAACAACAAAAATTTTACAGGCAGAACAGCATATCCAGGCAAATAAAAAGAAAAATGGGCACATTTTAAGAGAACATATTGAAGTTGCTCTCCCGTGCCAATAACAGCGGCAAATCTTTGACATGACTTACTCTTGACATCCACCTATCACCCCTATTCTGCCCAGCTGTCCTTTGTGAGAACAGTTTACAAGAGCAGGGATAGTTTCCCTCACAAGTTCCAGACAGCTGCAGTGCTTCTTTGGAGACCTGACATGGCTGGTATCTGTTGCTGATCTGAAACGACCATCGAGTTTATTTTCTCCCCCAGCGAAAGTAGTTCGTCTTTCCATGAGAAATCGAATTTTCGTGATCTTGCTAGGGATAAAATGTCTTTTTGCGACATGTAAGGAGATGTTACGGAGCAATCCGCCCATAAAGACAACGATATTCAAGGCATCTAGCATGACGTTTGAGAGCTGGGTCCTAGTACGTAGTTTACATGACTGTTACACCATGAGGTTAACGGTATGTGCCGCGCGAACAAAATGGCGGACTCAGCTGCAACGGCTTTCCACTGATTCAGTGTCTGACTATGGCTTTACTTGACCCGAAGTTTTATTCAAACAATGTTTTGGTTGTCGGGGACGGTAACTTTTCATTCACTGTTTGCTTAGCGTCTGCGTTATCAGAGACGTCGGTTAAGATCGTGGCAACATCTCTGGATTCGCGCGCTGCCTTGGCGAACAATGACTTCGCTGTTGAAAACATCGATAAATTATCAGCTTTTAAGAACGTGGAGATCTTGCATGAGGTAGACGCAACGAATCTGACTGGAAACTTTGGCCCAAGGATCTTCGACCGAGTGATCTTTAACTTCCCACATACTGGTGGAAAATCAAATATCGGCAAGTCGAGAGAGCTTTTGGAGCGGTTCTTTGCAAGTGCCGCACATCACGTTGACAGCAATGGGGACATTTGTGTGAGCCTTTGCCAAGGCCAGGGAGGGACACCTTTGGACAACCCAAGAAGGGAGCATGGAAACACTTGGCAGGTTGTTTCTCAAGCCGCTAAAGCAGGTTCGTAGTATAGCTGGTAGGTAGGTAAAGTCTGCGTACGAGCCAAGTGGCCCTTCAGGCCCGCCGGCTCTTATCTCCTTAAGTTGCATGAAACGACTAGGAGTATTTCTACTCCCCCTGGATGGGATGCTTGTCCATCGCATGGTTACCCCCAGCATTAAATTGGCCGGTACCCATTTGTACACCTGGGTGAAGAGAGGCACCGTGAGATCGTAAAGTGTCTTGCCCAAGAACACAACACAATGACCAGGCTAAGGCTCGAACACGGACCTCTCTGATCCGGAGGTGAGCGCAATAACCATAAGGCCACTGCGCCTCCACATAGTATAGCTGAGTATAGTAACAAGAGCATTTTGATTTCCTTTGCCAGTCTCCTCTTTGTCTCTGTTTTACCAGCAAAATAAATATGGGGTGTTACATAAAATTCAAATTAACTTTACGTTTAAGTCCTCCCCCCAAAATAAACACACATTTTAACAATCTATCAATCAATCACGTAATAAACCCACCCCCTTCCCCCTAAAAAATTCTCAGATGCAGAAATTCTTCTAAGCACAAGCTCCTTCAAGCGACATATGCTCAAAGACCTAGAGCAGTTTTCAATTGAGTCAGTGTCAACAGTAATCAGGCAATTTCTTTAGTTTTGGTTTTACTATGGTGTGAGATTGGCTAAGTAGTCTATTTGGTAAGTAATTGGGTTTGGTTTTGGCGTTACAATGCTCAATTGAAAACCGCTCTAAAGTAAATGTAGTCTCAAGCCCTCCATGGTAGGGCCTGCCTTGTATTACAGCATTTCTACGATGAGCATGAGTTTGAACAGAAATAAAGGAAAATATGGAAAATATCCAAAAATAATGGTCTAGTTTTGTTAAATACTACAATGTGAGTTTGCTGAAGCTATTAAAGAGGTGTTGGCATAAATAAAGTTGTAGATGTACTGACATGGCTTTCAATCATGGAATCCAATCAAATTTTTAGTTGTTGATGCATTCTAGATAAATGGATAATTTTATCTGGCAAGTGANAGAACATAGATTTGCTGTGAGACGAGGAATTACTCTTTAGATTTTTCATACAAATGTCTCTAATTTTTCCTGTGAATTGTGGTCCGGTTCTAAAGACAAATGTATCAAAAAAGGAAAACCTTAATATTTTTGTGACTTTTCTAGCCAGGCTATTTCCCTCAAATTTGATCAGAACATTCTTTTACCTGGTATCGTTAGGTTTTAATTTATAAGTATTTCAGAAGTTGAAATGTCTGTGAGTTGTTAGACATTAAATTATTGACTTTTCTCATACATTCACTGTAATTTTTTCTGTATTTGCCTGTCAGAAACCGTGAAAAGGTCTATATAGGATATCCAGCCATCTTGACAAAACAATGCAAGCGTGGTCAATATTCCACTTATTTCATCAAATAAAAGATGAGTATTTCAAATTAATTAGATAAAATAAATCAGACTTACTGCTTTCAATGCTGATATTGCCGCAAAATATGGAGCACCTGTATACCTGTCAAAGGATTAGAGGAAGAAGGGATGTCTTTGAGGTTAAACTTGTCAGCTTTTATAACAACAACAAAAATTTTACAGGCAGAACAGCATATCCAGGCAAATAAAAAGAAAAATGGGCACATTTTAAGAGAACATATTGAAGTTGCTCTCCCGTGCCAATAACAGCGGCAAATCTTTGACATGACTTACTCTTGACATCCACCTATCACCCCTATTCTGCCCAGCTGTCCTTTGTGAGAACAGTTTACAAGAGCAGGGATAGTTTCCCTCACAAGTTCCAGACAGCTGCAGTGCTTCTTTGGAGACCTGACATGGCTGGTATCTGTTGCTGATCTGAAACGACCATCGAGTTTATTTTCTCCCCCAGCGAAAGTAGTTCGTCTTTCCATGAGAAATCGAATTTTCGTGATCTTGCTAGGGATAAAATGCCTTTTTGCGACATGTAAGGAGATGTTACGGAGCAATCCGCCCATAAAGACAACGATATTCAAGGCATCTAGCATGACGTTTGAGAGCTGGGTCCTAGTACGTAGTTTACATGACTGTTACACCATGAGGTTAACGGTATGTGCCGCGCGAACAAAATGGCGGACTCAGCTGCAACGGCTTTCCACTGATTCAGTGTCTGACTATGGCTTTACTTGACCCGAAGTTTTATTCAAACAATGTTTTGGTTGTCGGGGACGGTAACTTTTCATTCACTGTTTGCTTAGCGTCTGCGTTATCAGAGACGTCGGTTAAGATCGTGGCAACATCTCTGGATTCGCGCGCTGCCTTGGCGAACAATGACTTCGCTGTTGAAAACATCGATAAATTATCAGCTTTTAAGAACGTGGAGATCTTGCATGAGGTAGACGCAACGAATCTGACTGGAAACTTTGGCCCAAGGATCTTCGACCGAGTGATCTTTAACTTCCCACATACTGGTGGAAAATCAAATATCGGCAAGTCGAGAGAGCTTTTGGAGCGGTTCTTTGCAAGTGCCGCACATCACGTTGACAGCAATGGGGACATTTGTGTGAGCCTTTGCCAAGGCCAGGGAGGGACACCTTTGGACAACCCAAGAAGGGAGCATGGAAACACTTGGCAGGTTGTTTCTCAAGCCGCTAAAGCAGGTTCGTAGTATAGCTGGTAGGTAGGTAAAGTCTGCGTACGAGCCAAGTGGCCCTTCAGGCCCGCCGGCTCTTATCTCCTTAAGTTGCATGAAACGACTAGGAGTATTTCTACTCCCCCTGGATGGGATGCTTGTCCATCGCATGGTTACCCCCAGCATTAAATTGGCCGGTACCCATTTGTACACCTGGGTGAAGAGAGGCACCGTGAGATCGTAAAGTGTCTTGCCCAAGAACACAACACAATGACCAGGCCAAGGCTCGAACACGGACCTCTCTGATCCGGAGGTGAGCGCAATAACCATAAGGCCACTGCGCCTCCACATAGTATAGCTGAGTATAGTAACAAGAGCATTTTGATTTCCTTTGCCAGTCTCCTCTTTGTCTCTGTTTTACCAGCAAAATAAATATGGGGTGTTACATAAAATTCAAATTAACTTTACGTTTAAGTCCTCCCCCCAAAATAAACACACATTTTAACAATCTATCAATCAATCACGTAATAAACCCACCCCCTTCCCCCTAAAAAATTCTCAGATGCAGAAATTCTTCTAAGCACAAGCTCCTTCAAGCGACATATGCTCAAAGACCTAGAGCAGTTTTCAATTGAGTCAGTGTCAACAGTAATCAGGCAATTTCTTTAGTTTTGGTTTTACTATGGTGTGAGATTGGCTAAGTAGTCTATTTGGTAAGTAATTGGGTTTGGTTTTGGCGTTACAATGCTCAATTGAAAACCGCTCTAAAGTAAATGTAGTCTCAAGCCCTCCATGGTAGGGCCTGCCTTGTATTACAGCATTTCTACGATGAGCATGAGTTTGAACAGAAATAAAGGAAAATATGGAAAATATCCAAAAATAATGGTCTAGTTTTGTTAAATACTACAATGTGAGTTTGCTGAAGCTATTAAAGAGGTGTTGGCATAAATAAAGTTGTAGATGTACTGACATGGCTTTCAATCATGGAATCCAATCAAATTTTTAGTTGTTGATGCATTCTAGATAAATGGATAATTTTATCTGGCAAGTGAAATCTTGAGAGAGGACAAAACTGAGGAGGACTTGGTTTTGTCCTCTTCACTTTGTTTAAGAATGAAATCAAACCTGGCCAAGTGTGTGTGCTCCATTGGTAATCAAAATTCGTTTTTTACTTTCCAAAATTATAGGGCTAATTTTGAATGCTGTATATCCATTTAGAAGTGTAGATTATACTTCCTACAGAAGTGCAGGCTTTCGTGGACAGCTTGGTAAAGGTTTCCACACTATTAATGGACTTACTCATGTGTTTGTGCCTGGAGTGCCACTGGAAACTGTCCCAGACTTGCAGTAAGTTTCTTAAAAAAAGTGTCAGCATTCAATGTATCAAATAGATTCCATGTTGCCATACATCTGTTCAGTAATTGATCACAGATGACATCAAAATGTGGTAAGAACAGAAAATTTGCACACCAGGCCATAGCCGAGTTTGTCACTGATGTTCTTACCACATTTTGACTAATCCAATTGCAAGAATAACTTGACTCAATAAACAGTTGTGATGCATGTATTGATAAAAATATGGTTCTATCGTATCAACAATTATATGTATTGTTCACTCTTCAGTCTTGACGGTTACAATAAGGATAGTGTTTACATAACTTGTGATCGGACACATGCTTTCTTACCTAAAGGCTAATCTGCTTCATTTCTTGTTTGAAATGAAGCTTCAAAAAGAGACGGCCATTTCTGTTTATCTGTCATCTTTGATAAGGTTTTCTGATGATGGCCCACAAGTCATGCTATCCATCATCTTTGAATACACTATTACCATCAAAACCACATGAATCTCACCATAAACCTACTATGAACTGGGTGGAATGTGGAATGACTTGTAATTCCATTGACTAGACTAGCCTTTCAAGAATTGCCAAGTTGGATTTAGATTGCTTTGCCATATTGAGAGCAGAATGCATGCACTTGCTGTGAGCTCCATCACATTGCACAGGCAAAGACAATGTCCATAGCTTTCTTCCCATGTCTTTTCTTACCAGTTTCCAATTTTACCTTTTTTATCTTAACCAGGAATTTTATTTCCAATTCCAAGACCATCTTAAGAGGCCTCTACCCAGAAGATGGTCTCAGTTGTGTGCCTGGTAATCCTGTTTCTATTCTGGTCAACAAGCTGAGAAGTTTCTTCTCAAATCACAATGTCTGTGACACAAATGTTGGACTATTTGGCAATTACAGCGATTCAGAAGACATATCAGTGAGTAGGATGAATCTGCAAGCCGAACATTTGAACACTCACAGAGAAGAGTTTGTAAAATCTCAGAAATCATTAACAGATGCCAACATGCCACTTTCAAGCAGGGTTCTTCAAAAGCTTCAAGCAAGTTGTCACTCCTTTCTCATTAGTGGTACTGAGCTTGACTTCTTCTTTTCTCCATCCTCCTATACTCATCCCATTAGACATAAAATTGTGGTTGGTTGGACTTTCACAGAACCAACAACAGCTTCCAAACTGAAAGCAGATGTGGATGGTGTTCTACAAGCATTCACCAAAGAAATTTGTTGTTCTCTTGAAGACTTAAGAAGAGAAAGTGGTTGTCAAAGCTTATCACAAAATGATCCTCTTTCTGGTACAGCTTCAGTGGTATTTGAGACAGTCCAATTAAAAAGTGGAAGGCAGACAAAATTTGAAAACGCCAGAAATGCTGCTAGTGCAGGGATTGGATGTGAATGCAAAAATCTAGCTGAGCAAAAGAAGTGCATTTTTTGTAGGTTGGAGAGCCACTATCTTGGGCATAACATCTCTCCACAGGTTTCTATCAGTAGCCTTTTTCAAGCTTCCACACAAACTAAACTCTATCACAAAGAGAGGCTGTTGCTAACTTTGGGTCTATTGGATTTTGAGAAATCTCCACATGATTGTTGTGGTTGGCTCATGGAAATTGACATTGATAACTTGGTTATGGCTTTGTATGGGATTTCTGATATACGACTGCTGTGGTCAAGGGATCAAAGGTTTAAAGAACAGTTTTCAGGCCTAAAGGTAAGGCTATGAGTTCACTGTCCATTATTGTCTATCTGTTCGACACCATTCAGTAGTCTTAGTATTCATATAATTATTTGCACTCTTAAAACAGTCAAACCCCCAGTTGCAACCATCTCTTGTAAGCAACCACCTCTTCTCAGCGACCAGTTTTCCAAAATACC